TGAGACCCTTCCTCCCCCCATGTCCCCAAGCCCGCCTTCTCCAGGCCGGTCCCACTGTCCTTCCGTCCTGGTCTTTAGATCCTTCTCTCTCTGCTTTCTCCCCCCACCCTTGTCCTCCGTCCCTCAGTCTTCAAGTCCTGTCCTTCCTTCTGTCTGCCACCCCCTTCCTCCTTGTCTCCCCTCTCCCGTCTCTCCATTTTGCCTTTGTCCCCCACCTCTGTCCCTTTTTCCTGGGTCACTCTGCCCCCCCCATTCACTCTGCTCCGTCTCCTGTGTGGCTGCCCTCCCTCCATGTCCCCATTCACCATCTCGCTCCGTCTCCTTGACCCCCGTATCTCTTCCCTTCTCTTTCCCCATCTGCCTCATCCCCTTGTCTCTTCGTCCTACCATTCACCCATCTCTCCACCTAGCCGCCTCCTTTCTCCTTCCTATCCCACGGTCTCCCTGTCCCCGGACTGACTGCTTCCTCTCCCCGTACATCCTCCATCGAAGTATCCCTCTTTGCTCCTGGAAAGGAGAGTCAGGCAGGGCAGCGACAGTATAGATGTGTGAAGTGGGATAGGGAACAGTGGCATGTGGGCACACACGTGGATTCCACAAATGTCTCCCCAAACCCTCCCACCCGTTCACACACCCAGGCCACACTTCACAGAAGAGCCCCCTCCAGGACATCCACATGTCTTTCTCCCTCGCTGTGGGAAGCTCAAGACCCCCAAGACAGGGTGACCCTGAGGCTGGGGACAAGGTCAGGAAGTGTCACCTGAACGCTCACACTTACAGCCCTATGTGTCTCATATCCACCGTGGGACACTTATCCCGGGTGGGTCAAGTTACTTTGCCTGAGAATACCTGATGGAGAGGTGTCGAGCAGGACTGAGGTCTCCCACAGGGAGCTGGGGCCGGGTGACCCAGGGCTGGGAGCCGTCTTTCCTGGCCCCAGTTCTATCAAGTGACGGTGCTGAACTTTGCGATGTGAGAGCTAAGTTGAGTGTGGTCACACCTGCCACTCCAAGGGTTGCCTCGGAGGACGAGGCCGACATCAGAAGTTCTGCCTTTCTTCTGTAGACTTCTGTAGTGGCTTTCATCAGTCCCCCCTTTTGTAACGGGCATGCCCCAATTTCCCAGGTGAGGGCTTGGGACTCGTGGTACATTTCCATCCATTTTTATTTTTCTTTATTCTTCTGCATGGAAAGTAGGCTCCTGGAATCCTGGAGCCAGCGAGTCCAGTAAACAAAGAGCCTGGAGTGATTTAGAATGTTGACGCCCTTAGGACACTGCAAGTCTTTAGAACCTTAACACTGTTCCATTTCTAGACTGTGGTTGGTCATGGTGGCCTGTAACCCCAGCTCTGGAGGCTGAGGCAGGAACATGAGTTCAAGGCTTGCCAGGATCACTACTTAGTGATATTCAGTTTAGAAATAAAAGCATAAAAAGGGGGGTGGTGTATGCTAGGGAGAAAGCTTACTAGTAATAGGTGTCTAGAATCCACCAATGAGGGGCTAGAGGTGTGGCTCAGTGAGTACTTGTCTACAATTAGCAGCCAAGAAGGGTCTGGGAATATATAGCTCAGTGGCAATGCATTTGCCCAGCATGTGAGAGGCCCTAGGTTCAATCCCCAGTGCTGGAAGAAGAAAGACAAGATTCTTTATGATGGGACTGGGCTGTTGTAGTGTCTTGACATACTGAAATCATGAAATCTCTACCCATTGGGGTTGTGCAGCTCCTGGGCCCTTGTAGCCTCAGCTGACTTCCTATCCAGTGCTGGATTCAAATCTCGGGCACCATCTGGCAGATGGCTCTAAGCCTTGTCCCTGGTTTGATGTTAAAATCACTGCTTCCTGGCGCATTAATCCATTCTGTAAACGACCTCTAAATTACATGCTGTGGGGCTTTATGAGTGGAAGACAAGCGTGGTGTCTTGGGGAGAGCTCTGGGCTTGGGTCCTGGCCTCCTCTCTAGCATAGTTTAATGTCAGTCTCTGTCCTTTTATGGGCCTCAGTTTCTCCTTTTGGGGAGCATGGTCCTAAAGGGTCCCATTTATAGTACTTCTCATAGATATCTAGTTCCCTTTTCTCTTCCTTCCTTCCTTCCTTCCTTCCTTCCTTCCTTCCTTCCTTCCTTCCTTCCTTCCTTCCTTCCTT